TTTTAAATCTTTAAAATTTTAAACAAATCGCATTTTTTGAGAATTTTGAGAAAAAAATTAATAAAACCTTTATATAATTTATGATCATTTTTTACCGCCGAATGGCATTTTTTTAAACTTTTTTCAAACCGAAACTGCTGAAACTGCCTTAATCAAAAACCAAAAATCCATCAATTCTTCATTCCATTAATACAAATAAAATGTTTTTTAAATCGTTCAAATCGGAAGCTCCGTTCTTTCAAAAACTGGTTTCCATTTTTGACACCAGGTATCTTCGAAACGGCTGGAACTCGAATCAGCACGTCACTCCCTATCAATAGGAATCGAATGGTTTTGAATCATTTAAATCGGTGAATCCGTGTTATCAAAATCGCCCACAATACATATTATATATATCTATGTATTATAAAAAAGATCTATGTATTATAAAAAAGAAAAAAAATGTTCCAAATTTAAATCTCTGATCTATAGTATAAAAGTTTTCTGCAGAATATTCACGTTGCATAATCAGCAGTGTGTCTCTATATGTACATTATTAATTTGTTTACAGTTTTGTTGGTTCACGATAACTTCGACACGTGGAAAAATTTTGCAGATTCATCAAGAGCCAATTCATAAATGCAAATGCGACTAAAATAAACTCATTGTACGTGTTTTTTATAATTAAAAAACAAGATTGAACTAGCAAGCTACTAAAATTGAATAAATATTTAAATTTGTTTGAAGATATATTTACTATTCAAAAACTCCAATGAAGATCTGATCATTCAAACCCATGTTAGATAACTGCATATGTTTTGCATTTATAAATTTTACGAGTGTGTACTAATGTTTAGTGAAACCCAAATAGTTAGTAACTAACAAAACAAATCAATAAAAGAACTAAAAAAATGTTTTTGTCAATGATACCATTGCTTTTTTACCAGGTAGAATGACAAGTTCCTCCAAATGTAAAAATGGCACAATTGATTTCCAAATGCTAACATAAAAATATGTGAAATTAAATTATTAGGTCTATTACAGAAAATAAATTTATAGATATAATTAAATTCCAGTGTAAATTGAACAATGGATTGAAACAGTAAAACTTTTAATGACTTGTTTTGTGATTTTAATTAATATTACTCATTTAATATTAAAATCAGAAAATTGAAGCCAACACGAGTAAATATGCTGTTAATTTATATAAATATTCAACAAACTATTTCAGAATGAAACGGTTAATACAATATTAGACGAGATATAATTTTCCTTCTGCGATTTTCTGCTCTCAGAAACATTCTGTAATTTGTAACGTAGCAAAATACTACACACCTATTTCAATATGTATAGTGCAAATGAAACAAAATATACTGAAAGTAAGATATATCTTAGTTGGAAGTCCATTTACTATGACGAAGTAGAATTGGTGATTATGTTTTAAAATATATATATGCAAAAGATTTTCTTTGAACAAGTAATGCGCGCACATTTCTGATAGCAAAAATTCAATTTGCATATTTTCAACGAGGGATGTCAGGGAGGTATATAGAGTCAATATAAAAATTTATTCACGCGAGGGTAAAATTTTAAAAGGCTCTAAGATCCTAAAGGTCTGCAAAGTAAATTCAATAAATATACAACTTTTATTAAATCTCATCACAATGACAGTGTGTAATGAAGTACCGCAACACAATGCAGCGAAAATAAAATATAAATGAATATTTACTTCTTTGGCATCTAATATAATAATATAAAACGCCTTATGCTCAAGTGCTTCATAAAGGTACAATAAAAAATTGACAAACCTAAAAGAATATTAAAAATTGCAATGATATGAAACATTTTCATATTAAATTTATTAATTTGGATCATAACTACAACCATATCCACTTTCAAAAGAGAAAAAGACGGGATTTATAATATGGCTGAAAATATAAATGAACGGATCACAGATAAACCAATTCAATTCAGATACAATATACAATTCAATTTCAAAACTGATATTTTTCTAGCCAATTAACTTTTACAGATTTCAATTTTATTTTTTTCTGGCTTCGAAAAAACTACTCTGTATTTCTCCTTTTCTTCTCAAGTTTTTTCCCTGGACTATATGTCATTTTGTCCATAAGTGAACAAAATGAATAAATTAAAATTTCATCAAACACTTGATAAATGCAATAAAATGGATCGAAAACTAATACTGACATAAGTTCAGCGAGTTTAATAAAAATTATTACAAATAACAGTGAATAAGTCCGAAAAAAAACATGAGAAAACCACCCTCAAAATAAACTTTTGAAGGCGCGATTCGTTTGAACTGATGACTGTAACAAGACTGGCAATGACGCTTAACATCTGACAGGATTGTGATTATCGCTTTTTTCGCCCTATACAGTCGCCAAAACGTTATTAGCACTAGTTCATTTTTAAATAAGGCCACTGTGTCATTATATACCATTTTGTTCGTATTTCCTCTAAACAATATTTTGGCACAAAACGTGCTTCCTGCAGATATTGCCTAATTGTAAGAACACAAATAATCATTCTGTTGATTATAATCGAGCAATTCTGTATATGTTTTGTGGAAATATAAATCTAATTCATCTTTTCAAAGAAGAATCTACTCCAGACAAACAAATGAACATTGTGGTCATATTAAAATAGTTCCATAGTGTTTAGAACATATTAAAACGTACAACTAATCTAATTATAGAAGAACCATTTCATCACCAGTTACGAATACGGAATTGAATAAACAATGACTAACAAAACGAATATGTCAAAACCCACTTAATAAAACGACACACGTGCGATAAATAAAATTATAATCAGAACGAAATTATAAATATATCGCATTATACATAAAACAAAAAACGGTAATCTGCATATGCTAATAGTATTTACATGGGAAATCATTTATAACTGGCGTATGGTACAGAATAATTGCGATAAAATTAAGTAATGAGGAAATTTTTATCACTCTAAATATTTGTTCATAATTTCATAGTAAACGCAAAATTTCGTTAATTGGTGGGCTGGGGACAAAACAATTATTAACTTCCCGTAGGGCAAGTTATAGTAATCGCAAAAAAATCGAAAATGAAAATTTTTATATATCTTTACGTTTCAGAGGTTTCTGAACATTTTGGCATACCTTAGAAAAAATGGATGTATGTGTGTGTGTGTGTGTGTGTGTGTGTGTATGTGTGTGTGTGTGTGTGTATGTGTGTGTGTATGTATGTATGTGTGTGTATGTATGTGCGGATACAAATTTTCGTCGACGATTTCGGGAACACGGATCAACCGATTTGAATAATTCAAAAAACATTCGATCCGTATTGATAAGGAGACGTGCTGATTAGTTTTTGGCAAAGGCAGGTCAAGCCGTTCCGAAGATACGGGGCAAAAAGTTTCGAAAACGGTAACTCAGTTTTTAAGAGAACGGAGCGTCCGATTTTAATAATTCAAAAAACATTTTATTTGTATTGACAAGATGAAGAATCGATACAACTTTCATGAAGGTAGGTCCAGCGGTTTCGGAGATATAGAGGAAAAAGTAAAAAAATGAGCCATTTGGCGGTCAAAAATGATCATTAGACATATGCACATCAAATTATCAGATATTTTATAGAGATTTTAACAATAAGTATACATTTTGTTAACATTCCTATCGGTTCCGTACCAATGCTTATGCGTTAGACAGCGACGCGGCGCTTACGCGCTTTATATTTTGTCCCTATGTAGTTAAAGCAGTACGATTGCTTTGAAAAAAAAGTTCAGATCTTCCACAATATGTCAAAATAAAGAAAAAAAAAATTTTTTTTCAAAAAAAAAAAAATTAAAAAAAAATATTTTTTTTTTAAAAATTTTTTTTTTCGAAAAAAACTAATTCTTTGTCCAATTTATAGTTTCTCAAAAATCTTATTTTTTCAAAGTATTTTTTTTTCAAAAATGTTAATCGTTTTAAAAAAATAATAATAATTTTTGGTACGGGAAGTTACAGCAATTTGCCTTAAGGCACGATGCCCTAATTGCCTTAAGACAGAATTCCACTTACAGCTAGTTTGTTACATACTTAAAACAAAAAAGCTTTTTAGTTATTCAACAATAACTTTAAGTTAACCTAAAGCATAACATTAAAATTTAACCTAAGTTAACCTAAAGCAACAATATAATTTTTATTTAACAGCCTTAAGCAGTCTAAATTCTGGTCTAAAATTTTTTAAAAATCGTTTTTGTTTTTTATTCGTATTTTTTCGAAGTTTAACTACTCAATAATATGTGTACAATAAGATTTTACAAAATTTAAATTATTTTTAGAGATGTAGCAAAATGGCCACGATAATTCACATCTGTTTCCTCCCTCCGCGAAATCTCAAGCGCGTTTTTCTCGAAACAGTTTTGCGATACGATACCCACGATTTCTCTATTTTTACTCGACCGATTTACTTGAAATTTTTGCAGTCTTTTTCATAAACTGCTGTTCAGTACGAGCTACACTCATACCCAAAAATTCCGCTTTTTACTATTTTTAAAAATTCAAAGATATCAAAAAATGTTGTAAAAAAGATTTTTAATTTCAAACATTAAAACAAAGTATTTTAGCTTGTCCGTAGTTCAAAGGATTGCGACTATTATTCTAGATTCATGCATATAATTTTTTTCTTTAGATTATTTGGAAGGGATTATTTGTCCGTAGTTCAAATGATTGCGACTATTATTCTAGATTCATGCATATAATATTTTTTTTCTTTAGATTATTTGAAAGTCGAGGGTGTGGTTAGAGGCCAACTTTTTTGAATCCCGACCTTCTAGAGTTAAATTTTATGACTATTTTTAATTTTTCTGTTTTTATAATCTCAGAACATTAATTAATAAATTGTGAACAAATATAGAACAAATATTGCATGTTATTTTATATTTTACGGCCTTTAAAAAATCGCATAAAATTCAAGCCTCTAGACTAGGATACCCCCTTAATTAGAACTAAATAAATAAAAAGATGCTTCAATATTTACCATGTGTCGTGCCCCAGTTCTCAGTTCTGTAAAAAAAATAATACATTATTATTATTATAGTTATATTCTTATATAAAGTACGTATTACACATATACAAACAAGAATACTAGGAGTTAACACAGTATTAAAAAAAATATTTAATAACATTTCCTTGATCAGTATATTTATCATTGACAAATATATTCTTTTCCACTTCCCGGCAAAGAATAATAAGAAAAATAGAACTAATGGTAAATGATGTTTCATTTGTTTATTTATTTATTTATAATAAATAATTGGAGTAACTGAGTTGTATTAGGAGTAAGAAGAAAAAATATAAGAACTCTTTGACATTAAAAGAATAATGAAGATAAAAAATGGAAGGTTAAATAAAATTCGAAATTCGAAATGAAAGCAAGAATTGAAGAAAGAAATGAAAAAGTCAAATTGAAGAAAAATAATTAAAAGAAATTCAAGAAGAAAAATTAGGAAGAATATTGAATAGGATATAGATTATATAGATTAAATGTGATATAAAAAAATTATAGAATGTAAATAAATAAAATGTTGTAGGTGGCTAAATGCTCAGAGTAAGCCAGGCACAAAAAATAATTATAATAATCAATATTTTTTATTTTTTTACGCCTTTTTATTATTTTTATTATTATAGGCCAGTATCTTTGAATTGGTATGAATATAATTTATGATAAAACACAGAAGCAATCTAATTGAAATAAATTAATTTTAATTTATCATCTGCTATAAAATGATAATGAGTCTGCCCTAAAACAGTGGCCGTGCGAGAATTTCTCCAATTTCTAAATATATTCGGATTTATATTTTCATCAACATCACTACTGGAGCACGAGATTTTATATATATATATATATTTTCGATCATATAATTTTTGTACTTGTCTACATACAATTCGGTGTTTCTGAACGCCCTAATACTAAATCGTACTTCAGCCAAATCACACAAGGTAAAAATACAAAGGCTTTATTACATATAAATCTCAATAAAAAAGCAATACCGGCAGAGTATGTCACTTAGCGTTTATTTTTTATTTGTTCTTTATATATCATCCAATTGCACAATGAAGTTCATCATCCTCTCAAAAAGTGTTAGATTTAATGATCAAACGATATTTTTCAATGGAATGGAAATGACATATTTAATGATCTATAATAAAAAAAAAACAGTCCAAATAAAAAATCTAGCGATAAATTGAACCTTGTACAGAAGCTAAGTATTATAACAAGATAATGAAAGATACCTTAAAGCTTTTTTCCTATAAATTGATTTTCCAGCCGGTGGTATTTAGCACATCGACCTTTGACAAATTAAGTTAACTTGCGAATATATATATATATATACATATATATATATATATATATTATATATTAGTGTGGTCCTTAATATGGACATTTTCGAATTTTCTTGCTCCCAAGAGCTCAAATGCTTCCAAATTGATAAAAAAAAATCCTCTATAAGTTTTAGCTCTTAATATTCTCTTTTAGATAGTGCGCAATTCAATCAAAGTATGGAAATAGTATGGAAAAAAATTTGTTTAAAATGTTTTTTAGGTATAACTAAGCGAACAAATAAATTAGTATTGTTGAATATTTGACGCTCTACAAAATAATTAAATTTAAACAATAAAATAGTTATTAATTATAAATTTATTACAGGTTGAATAACTATTAATAGAATATGGATTTGCAATAGAAAATTATAACCTAATTTAAATATTTTATTGCGTTTCTATATAAATAAAAAAATATAAATAAGCAATTGAGAAAAAAATAGAGCGGCTCGTCAATGAATAATGTACCCGTATATATTTCTAACAATAAGAAGAAAACGTGCCAGATATTCGTCACACACCACAAAGTTACCCAATATAAAACAAATAAATAATGCATGAGAGTGAACATTGAACTACTTTTATATCATCCTCCAGAATTTATGTTGTCATTCTAACATAAATCTAACGGGACTATGCGATTTAAAAAAAATAATCGTTTTTTAAATAGAATTATAACAAATATTTTAAAATTTCTATTTTCGATTATCTACTTTTTGTCGATTTCAGAAATGATTCATAATTTTTAAGTAAATTATTTTTCACTGAAATCAATGCTTCGTTCGTCAAAAGCTTAATATCAAGTCGTAATCATATCAATGAAAATACTCTCATCATTTTGTTAACAGGTTACACAAAGTACATAAAAAACAATGCAAAAAACACATAAGTTCTGATTGCACCTAAAAATATAGTTCGTTCGAAAATTTTTATCTAGAAATTTTCAAGAAAGAAATAGTTTACATTTATGACACAATACTATCACATGTTTTTACTAGCAGAACCCTATGATTACATGCATTTCACAAACAAACAATAATAGAAAATATAATAATAATACGAGATTGCATGCCATTAATGCCTTTGCTGATTACAGTTATAAAAACAGTCTCGAATTCCGCCATATCTAGCACAAGGTTTTTTTATCGATTTTATAAAAATACTCTGAAATCTAGTTACTATAAACTGAATGTAAAGGACTCTTGCGGAAAGAACCCAAAAGTACGTGTTAAACCCTTTTTTTAAGGGATCGTAAATCTTTTAACTTCGAATTTATACCTTCCGAAATAGGATAAAGAAATTTCTTTGCAGAAACTTGAGATGTACTGAGAAAGTAATATGATTTGAAAACAATAACAGTAAAAATTATATTGTTTATTATTAAATGCTTGATCATAAATCTATATAATATATTAAATCAATTGTTCATAAAGCATAAAACATTGGAGGACTACCTCCAATGCAGCAGTTCTTTACAGTGATAGTAATGATTGTACAAAATAGTTTAAAAAAAATACAAAATACATTTTTACTATAAAAAACGCGATTAAGATTTGTTTGAATTCTTCTGCTCAGTCAGCATGCTTATATACTTATGACAATGGAGCCAAATGAAAATTCTCTATATACCAAAAGTGAATTTGTAGGAAAGCTGATGCTTATTTCATTTACGTTTTATCAATAAAGCTGTAGGTTAGAGTCATTTCATTCTATTAAACAGTTTTATTACCAGCATCGTTTTCCTATGAATTATTCATAAACACACACATTTAGCAAAGCGGTTCATATGCTAATTCATTTTTCTAATTCACGCATTAGAAATAACGAGGAAGAAAAGTAATGAAAAACAGAAAGTTTCGATTAAAACATTACAGAGAAAAGAAACTTTATTGAAAAACTAGTGGGGCGCATGGCATCGTGCCTTAAGGCAAATTGCTAAAACTTCCCGTACCAAAAAAATTTTTTTTTAAAAGATTAACATTTTTGAAAAAAAATTACTCTGAAGAATTAGATTTTTGAAAAACTATAAATTTTTGACAAAAATTTACTTTTTTTTTGAAAAAAAGACTTTTTGAAGAAAAGTGTATTTTGAAATATTTTGGAAATTCTGAACTTTTTTTCAAAGTAATCGTTCTGCTTTAACTGCATAGAGACAAAATATCGAAGCGCGTAAGCGCCGCGCCGCCATATAACGGATAAGCATTGGTACGAAACCCATAGGAATGTAAACAAAATTTATACTTATTGTTGAAATGCCTATAAAATATCTGATAATTTGATGTGCATATGTCTAATGATCATTTTTGACCGCCAGATGGCATTTTTTTTACTTTTTTCACCAGATCTCCGAAACCGTTAGACCTGCCTTCATGAAAATTTAATCAGTTCTTCATCTTGTTAATACAAGTAAAATGTTTTTTGAATTATTCAAATCGGACGCTCCGTTCTCTTAAAAACTGAGTTACCGTTCTTGGCACTTTTTGTTCCATATCTTCGGAACGGCTAGACCTGCCTTCGCCAAAAACTAATCAGCACGTATTCTTATGAATACGAATCGAATGTTTTTTGAATTATTCAAATCGCTTCATCCGTGTTCCCGAAATCGTCAACGAAAATTTGTATCCGCACACACATACACACACGCACACACACACATACATCCATTTTTTCTAAGATATGCCAAAATATTCAGAAACCTCTGAAACGTAAAGATATATACAAATTTTCATTTTCGATTTTTTTGCGATTACTACAACTTACCCTACGGGAAGTTAAAAATTGTATAGTATTTGTAGTCAAGTCATATTATTTGTCGATTTGAGCAGTTCGTGTCCTAACTGTGAACTAGCTGTAAGTGGAATTCTGTCTTAAGGCAATTAGGGCATCGTGCCTTAAGGCAAATTGCGGGAACTTCCCGTACCAAAAATTTTTTTTTTTTAAAAACGATTAACATTTTTGAAAAAAAAATTACTTCGAAATAATTATTGAGAAACTAGGAATATGACAAAAAATTACTTTTTTTTGAAAAAAAAAAATTTATTTGAAAAAAAAAATTTTTTTTTGAAAGAAAAAAATTTTTTTTTGAAGACAAACTATTTTTTTGAAAAGAAAAATGTTTTCTTCATTTTGACATATTTTGGAAATTCTGAACTTTTTTTCAAAGCAATCGTAGTGCTTGAACTGCATAGAGACGAATTGTCACAGCGCAAGTGCCGCGCCGCCGTCTAACGCATAAACATTGGTACGGAACCCATAGAAATGTAAAAAAAAATTATACTTATTGTTAAAATTTCTATACAATATCTGATAATTTGATGTGCATATGTCTAATCATCATTTTTAACCGCCGAATGGCATTTTTTTTTACTTTTTTATTAGATCTCCGAAACCGCTAGACCTGCCTTCATGAAAATTTTATCAACTCTTCATCTTGCCAATATAAGTAAAATGTTTTTTGAATTATTCAAATCGGACGCTCCGTTCTCTTGAAAACTGAGTTACCGTTTTCGGCACTTTTTGCCCCGTATCTTCGGAACGGCTAGACCTAACTTCGCCAAAAACTAATCAGCACGTCTCCTTATCAGTACGAATCGAATGTTTTATGAATTATTCAAATCGGTTGATCCGTGTTCCCGAAATCGTCGACGAAAATTTGTATCCGCACATACATACACACACAT